TTGACTCTGGTGCTTCTCGCTTCTTCTTTTGCGACAGCACCACCCTCACGCCACTCAGTCGGCCGGTTCCAGTCTCCCTGGCAGACCCCTCTGGGGGTCCAGTCCGTGCGACCTCCTCCATTGTCCTCCCTTGTCCTGCTGTCCCCTCCGGCACACTGTCGGGTCTTTACCTCTCCTCGTTCTCTACGAACTTGGTGGCGGGTTCTGCGCTCCAGGACGCGGGTGTTCACCAGTTCACGCGGGTCCCTGATGTTTTGATCCCTTAGATCCGCGCTACTCGTCTCCAGCTCCGCGAGCGGTTCGGGATGGAGTTTCCCATCCTGCGTCTGCACTCTGATGGAGATGGTGAGTTTTCCTCCGACCTCTTGGCAGCCTTCTGTGAGGAGCACGGCATCACCCAGTCGTTCACGCTTCCGGCCTCTCCGCAGTAGAATGGGGTTTTTGAGCGCCGCATTGGTTTAATCATGGAGGTCGCTCGTACCTCCATGATCCATGCGGCTGCCCCCCATTTTCTGTGGCCGTTTGCAGTCCGGTACGCCGCGCATCAGCTCAACTTCTGGCCCCGTGTCTCCTTGCCGGAGACCTCGCCCACACTGCTGTGGACGGGGAAGGTTGGCAATGCGTCTCGTTTCCGGGTCTGGGGTGCTCGTGCCTTTGTCCGCGATACCACCGCGAACAAGCTCTCCGCCCGCGCTGTTCCATGTGTCTTCCTTGGCTTTGTCCCTTACGCGCCTGGTTGGCAGTTTTACCACCCCACCTCCCGCCGTGTCTTGCCCTCTCAGGACGTCACGTTCGACGAGTCGGTTCCCTTTTACCGTGTCTTCCCCTACCGCACTGCCCCTCTCCCCCCCCCCCCGCCGCTCTTCCTCGCTCCAGGTGCTCCCCAGGTAGACCCCCTCCCCACTCTCGGTCCTGCTCCTTTAGGTGTGTCTCAGGTAGACCCTCCTCTCTTGCCTGCGCCAGTTGAGGTCACTGGTGACTCAGGTCGTGCTGAGGGTGGTCCTGCTCGGGATGCTGCTACTGGGGGTGCTGAGCCTCGGGGTGCGGAGCCTGGGGGTGCTGAGCCTAGGGGTGTTGAGCCTGGGAGTGCGGAGCCTGGAGGTGCGGAGCTTGGGGGTGCGGAGACTTGGGGTGCTGAGTCTGGGCGTGAGGAGTCTCGGGGTGCTAAGCCTGGGGGTACTGAGTCTGGGGGTGCTGCACCTGGGAGCGCTGAGGCGTCTGGTGAGCAGTCTCCCTGGGGTAGCCGTCTCCGTAGTCGCTCCGTTGGTACCTCGCCGCTGCACTCTCATCGTCGACTCCCTCTCTCCCCACAGCAGCTGCGTGAGTGGTACGTTGGCCGTCAGGGTCGCGCTGCTAGAGCTAGGGGCCCTGCTGCGAGAGGCGCTGGAGCTGGTGACTCTGCTACTGGAGTTGTTTCTGCTGGAGGTTCTGGAGCTGCTGAAGGTGCTGGAGCTGGAGGTTCTGGAGCTGCTGTGGGTGCTGGTGCTAGAGGTTCTAGAGCTGGAGGTTCTGGAGTTGCTGAGGGTACTGGCGCTGGAGGTCCTGGAGCTGCTGCGGGTGCTGGCACGGAGGGTTTTGAGTCTGCTGTTGCGCGGTCTCCTTGGAGTAGCCGCCTTTGTCCGCGTGCACCTCTCACCTCTCAGCAGCTGCACGACTGGTACGGTCGCCGTCAGGGTCGCGCTTCTGGAGCTCGGCGCTCTGCCGTTGGAGGTTCTTCTGCTGCCGTCATTGGAGCTGGGAGTGGTGTTGGTCCCGGAGGTGCTCGTACTGGAGGTACTGGAGCTGCTGGGGCTGGAGGTGCTGAGCCTGACGGTGCTACTGCTTGATACCCTGGATCTGGGGGTGCTGCTGCTAGTGACACTGAGGCTAGGGACCGTGGGACTGGAGGTGTTGGTTCAAAGGGTGCTGCTACTGGTGGAGCTGGTCCTAGAGGAGCTCGCGCTAAGGGGTCTGGTGCTGCTGGAGGTGCTGGAGCTGCTAGGGGTGCTGGAGCTGCTGGTGCTGGTGGTAATGCACAGCCGCGCCTGTTCTTTGCTCCGCCGTCTCCGTCGTCTTAGCCACCGTCTGACTCTGTACTTCGCCAGGTTCTTAGTCTCCCTTCGTCTACTGGTCTTCCGTTACAGCTTGGCTCACCGCTGCCTGCTCCTTCTCCTTACACTAAGCAGTCAAAGGGTCTTACTGAGCGTCGTGAGCCTGCGTCGCGTCCTGTCTCGCCTGTCCGTTCTGGTCGTTTCGGTCGTCGTGTTCCTCGTTCGCGTCAGCCGGTTGTCCCTGGCACCCACCTCGTAGCTCGTCGTCCTTCCTCTCCTCCGCTGTGTGTTCCCCTGCCGCCCCCTCCTGTCTCTTCTCTGCCTACCGTTCCTGAGCTTGAGTTTGACCGCGTTCGTGCTGCTAGCCCTACTGTCACACGTCTGCTAGCCACAGTTGTGAGTGACCCGTCGTGTGAGTCTGCTGCTGCGTCTGCCTTAGTCGCTGAACTTGTTGACTTTGCTGTTGCCTGTCGTCTAGACTACGCCGCTAGTCTTGTTGCTAAGTCTGAGTATTTCTGTCCTCCGTCCATTGGGCGTGACTGTGCTCTTGGCACGGACGTCCTTGAGGATAGGCAGGAGGAGTTTGAGTGCTTTGCCGCCGCTGTACCTCATCTCGTGTCCATGCTGATTGCACCTGAGGGAGACCCGGATGCACCAGACATCCCGACCCCGCGCTCTTACGCTAAGGCGATCGCGGGTGAGTACTCCTCTCAGTGGCAATCAGCCATGGACGTAGAGATGGCATCCTGGAAGTCGAGTGGCACTTACGTCGACGAGGTTCCCCCTCCTGGGGCGAACATCGTCAGTGGCATGTGGATTTTCAGGGTGAAGCGGCCGCCGGGTTCTCCGCCTCTCTTCAAGCCTCGTTACGTTGCTCGAGGCTTCAGTCAGCGAGAGGGAGTAGACTTCTTCCATACCTTCTCCCCCACCCCGAAGATGACCACTCTTCGGGTGCTACTGCACGTTGCCGCTCAGCGTGACTACGAGCTTCACTCTCTTGACTTCAGCACAGCTTTCTTGCAGGGCAGCCTGCACGAGGAGATCTGGCTGTCCCGCCCACCTGGCTTCACTAGGTTGTTCCCTCCTGGTACCCAGTGGAGCCTCCGGCGGCCGGTCTACGGTCTCCGCCAGGCGCCACGTGAGTGGCACGACACACTGAGGACTACGTTTGTGGCTCTTGGGTTCGCGCCTTCTACTGCTGACCCGTCGCTGTTTCTGGGCACCGACACTTCGCGGCCGCCGTTCTACATCCTCGTGTACGTCGACGACTTGGTCTTTGCCACTGCGGACATTGAGGCTCTCGCCCTGGTGAAGTCGGACCTGTAGAAGAGACACACGTGCACAAACCTGGGTGAGCTGCGCAGTTACCTTGGCTTGCAGATCACCCGGGACAGAGCACGCCGCACCATCACACTGACTCAGTCATTCATGGTGCAGCAGGTCCTTCAGCGCTTCGGCTTCACCTGGTCCTCGCCACACCATACTCCTCTGGCTACAGGTCACTCGCTCTCAGCTCTACCTTCGAACGAGTCCGTAGAGCCGAGTGGTCCTTACCCAGAGCTAGTGGGTTGCCTCCTGTACCTGATGACCTGCACTCGTCCTGACCTTGCGTACCCTCTTGGCCTTCTCGCTCGCTACGTGGCTCCTGGTAGGCACCGACCGGTGCACATGGATGCTGCTAAGAGGGTACTGTGCTACTTGTGCAGTACGTCGGGCATGGGGCTCGTGCTTGGAGGGCGGAGCCCAGTTGTCCTCGCTGGGCACTCGGACGCTTCTTGGGTTGAAGACCTGGCTACACAGCGGTCGTCACAGGGTTACACCTTCAGCCTTGGCTCTGGCTCTGTTTCTTGGCGGTCTATACGCTCGTCTTCTGTTCTCGGCTCAAGTTGCGAGGCTGAGATCTACGCCACAGCCATGGCTGCACAGGAGCTAGGCTGGCTCACCTACCTCCAGACCAATCTGGGAGAGCGACCTCGTTCTCCTCCAGTGCTGTACGTAGACAACAAGGCCGCCATTGCCTTGTGTCAGGAGCACAGACTGGAGCACAAAACGAAGCACATCGTTCTGCGTTACTTCCTCACTCGAGAGTTGCAGCAGCGAGGTTAGCTTCGTTTTGCTCACGTGGCCACTCGGGCCAACACTTTTGATATATTCACCAAGGCACTTCCGTCTGGTGATCATCAGCGTTTCTGTACTTCGTGAGGCCTGATGTCTACGTTTCCTCACTTGCTGTAGACCTTGTTTGTACTGTGATCTATATATATACGTGCTTGCTTGCTTTGCTAGGTAGAGATCACTGTGTTGCTGTTGTTGCATATATAATGCTTGTGAACTGGCCTTGTGGCCCTTTGCTTGTGCTCAGTGTGTGTGGTGACGTGATCCACCCTAAGCTTGCTTTGCTTCTCTTAACTGGTCTTGTAACCCCTTGCTCTCCCCCACTTTGCCTATGGGGGTGTGTCAAACTATGATAATGCTTGTGTTGCGTAGGCTGTAGTGGGGTAGCCCATAAGGGGTAAAACCCAAATTAGGGTTCGCATATGTACCTACATCTCTATTCAATGCACTCATTCCTGCTGCTAGATTCTAACAGCTACGCTGTCATGATGTCACTGTGTGGTGTCATGATGACTGCCGGCTGGCCAAGGTGTTATGAAGAATGTCAGGGCGGTCAGAGAAGAGCATGTCACACCCCATGGCCATGCACTCCTCCTGCAAGGGCATGGGAATGATATGGTACGATATGGTACAGTATTAATAGTGAATGCTGGTTGCTGAGAGTGGTAACAAACCAAGCGCGAGTGTCAGGGCAGTCAGAGAAGAGCATGTCACATCCCATGGCCATGCAGTCCTCCTGCAGGAGCATATCACATGGCCATGGTACAGAATGATAGGGGGTGGTGGTGGGCCTTGAGAGCTCAGATAATTCAACTGAGAATGTCAGGGCAGTCAGGGAAGAGCATATCACACCCTATGGGCATGCAGTCCTCCTGGAAGGGCATGTCACATGGGCGTGGTACAGAGGTATAAAACGCAGTGGTGGTGGTTATTGATAGCTCAAACAGACCAAGTGAAAATGTATGGCAGGTCAGAGAAGAGATTGTCTGCACAAGTGAAATAAGCAGGCCTTGGCCGATCTGCACAAGTGAATCAACACAGCATCACTTCCTGATTAATCAGGTTTGTACACTCAAGTTCCAACAGGCAAAGCGGTGACAAACCGCTTCAACTTACCAGGGCGGAACGAGTGGTGGGTAAGTGAAGTGTGGACGGTGAAATGGATGGTCAGGGCGTGATGTGCCGGCGACCAGCACATCACGCCCACTACGGCGTGGTGGTAAGAGGCGAGAGGAGCCCCCCGTATTCAAGTCCCCTTCGCCTCACCTGCCCTTCTCATCCCCCACCTCCCCTTCGCCTCACCTGCCCTTCTCATCCCCCACCTCCCCTTCGCCTCACCTGCCCTTCTCATCCCCCACCTCCCCTTCGCCTCACCTGCCCTTCTCATCCCCCACCTCCCCTTCGCCTCACCTGCCCTTCTCATCCCCCACCTCCCCTTCGCCTCACCTGCCCTTCTCATCCCCCACCTCCCCTTCGCCTCACCTGCCCTTCTCATCCCCCACCTCCCCTTCGCCTCACCTGCCCTTCTCATCCCCCACCTCCCCTTCGCCTCACCTGCCCTTCTCATCCCCCACCTCCCCTTCGCCTCACCTGCCCTTCTCATCCCCCACCTCCCCTTCGCCTCACCTTCCCTTCTCATCCCCCACCTCCCCTTCGCCTCACCTGCCCTTCTCATCCCCCACCTCCCCTTCGCCTCACCTGCCCTTCTCATCCCCCACCTCCCCTTCGCCTCACCTGCCCTTCTCATCCCCCACCTCCCCTTCGCCTCACCTGACCCTCCCACGCCTCACCTGCCCCTCTTTGTGGTCAAGGTAATCCCCAAACACCGACACCCACCGCTGCACTGGTGCACGAGGTAATCCCCAAACAGGCCAACCCCCCTCACCACCCCCATCCCTCGCTTCCACTCCCCACCTCCCCCATGCCCCACCTGGCCCACGCCTCACCTGCCCCTCCCTGTGGTCGAGGTAATCCCCAAACACCGACACCCACCGCTGCATTGGTTGACGGGTTAGGAAGGAAGAGAGCGAGAGTGAGGGAGAGAAAAGGGGAGGGGTCGTAAGGCAGGAAAGGAAGAAAATTGCGGGAGCAAAAAGGAGGAGAGGTGAGATGTTCTCAGGAGAATCATGGGAAAGGCTATGTCGAAATAAGGTGAAAAGAAAAAGGTGCCGACACATATATACACCCTGCTGATGAAAGTCTGAAACAACTTGATGCAGGTATCCCTTTTATAACCTCTTCAAAGAAACTAACCCTTTGGACAACTCTCAAACTAGTTCTCAATAAGGGGTTCCTAATTGCATTCTCAACAGATTTCCTAATGGCACTCTCACAAGTGACTCGACGTACCCCTCGTCGATGGAAGGCTGCAACAAAGTCACGGTTGAGAACCTGAGAGAGTGAGGGCGAAGGGGAAGGAGCAGAGCACAGGAGGCTTTAGATCTTTGAGACGTCTCAAATTCGTCGATGGAAGGCTGCAACCAAGTCACGGTTGAGAACCTGAGAGAGTGAGGGCCGAAAGGAAGGAGTGGGGTATGTGCGTGGGGTGGGGCATGCGAGTGGGGCATGTGAGTGGGGCATGTGAGTGGGGCATGTGAGTGGGGCATGCGGGTGGGGCATGCGAGTGGGGCATGTGAGTGGGGCATGCGAGTGGGGCATGCGAGTGGGGCATGTGACGTGAGTCGTTGAGGGGTTGCAACCCACGTCATGGCAATGGTTGGCAGTCAGGAGCTAAGGCAGCAGACCGATCCTGAGGAGCAGTTGAGGATGCGAAACTGATAAGCAAGGGTGAGGAGAGGATGATTGAGTAAGTGAGGCCGTTACCTTGTAACCCCATCTGTATGCTGTCGTTCCCACAATCTCATGACGCATGGGAATAAGCCAAAGAATGCCGACCAGGTAGCAGATGTACCTGGGAGGGAGAAAGGAGAGAAAGTGGTGATAAATAAACGCAGGAAGGAAATAGCGATAAGTGCTAAGTGTGTACATGGCAAAGCATGCATGCATGCTAAGTGTGTACATGGCAAAGCATGCATGCATGCTAAGTGTGTACATGGCAAAGCATGCATGCATGCTAAGTGTGTACATGGCAAAGCATGCATGCATGCTAAGTGTGTACATGGCTAATAAGATGGAGCTCGAAGGCACGAGATGGCTAAGTGTGTACACGCAGGGGTCAGCTCGAAGGCACGAGATGGAGCGGGAAAGAATTACTCCTGCGTGTACAAGAAGAACCAAGTCCACTTCTGAGGCGCCTCAAAGTATTACACCTGTGTTTACAAAAAGAACCAAGTTTCTGGATACGACGAAAAGTCCCCAGTTTCAAGAGAGACACTTACATAAGTATCATGGAGTTGATGTCTGGTGTGGCAGGCACGCATGTAGGCTTCAGCCTGAGCACCTGAGGAGGAGGGGATTAAGGAACGAGTAAGTTACAGGGAAGAATAGCATGTTGTGGTAAGATGTGATGTCACCCATAGGGGCAAATGTTTGTACGCTCCTCTCTGAGTCGTGTTTTGAGTCAACTCAATACAGGGAATAGCATGTTGTGGTAAGATGTGATGTAACCCATAGGGGCAAATGTTTGAACGTCCATGATGATCAGCGCACCTCTCTGTTTGCTTCTAGAGGCACTGCGCCAATGATGATTCGCACATTCACATGAATGTATTTACACATGCACATGAATACCACATGAGAGCACATGCAAATGCATACCTCGTAGCACATGCAAATGCATACCTCGTAGCACATGCAAATGCATACCTCATAGCACATGCAAATGCATACCTCGTAGCACATGCAAATGCATACCTCGTAGCACATGCAAATGCATACCTCGTAGCAAATGCCTGAACGCACCTCTCTGTTTGCTTCTGGAGGCCCGGTTTCCAACATGATGCGCTGCTGCACATGCATACCTCATGGGAGCACATGCATACCTCATGGGAGCACATGCATACCTCATGGGAGCACATGCATACCTCATGGAAGCACATGCAATGCATGTGATGCACTGCACACATGCACATGCAAACCTCATGGGAGCACATGCCTGAACGCACCTCTCTGTTTGCTTCTGGAGGCACGGCTCCCATCATGATGCGCTGCTCTAGATTGAACTCGCGAACCATCTAACTCACATGCACATGTGAGGAGATGCACATGTGATGAGATGCACATGTGAGGAGATGCACATGTGATGAGATGCACATGTGATGAGATGCAGATGTGAGGAGATGCACATGTGAGGAGATGCACATGTGAGGAGATGCACATGTGATGAGATGCACATGTGAGGAGATGCACATGTGAGGAGATGCACATGTGAGGAGATGCACATGTGATGAGATGCACATGTGAGGAGATGCACATGTGAGGAGATGCACATGTGATGAGATGCACATGTGAGGAGATGCACATGTGAGGAGATGCACATGTGATGAGATGCAGATGTGAGGAGTTGCAGATGTATCAATCAAGATGATTTGAGCACGGAAAGCAGCCATGGAAAGATGCAGGGCGAAGGCTTGAGAAGGGTCTCAAACCTAGAGAATAAAAAGCATCGCCTCAAGGGGGAGAAAAGAAGAACACGAGAAGCATGTGGAGTGGAGACATGACTTGACTTGGAAAGGAAACAAAGGGTGCAGGAACAAAGGGTCTACCCTCAAGGGTGCCACTCTCGTAGGAAGGGTCACAAAGTGCTGCCTCAGGCACGCATCGCAGCAACAGCTACACGTGGAAGGGAGGGCCATGAAGGGACCACAGAGCATCACCTGAAGCGTGGGCGCAACAGCTCTGGGTGACTTGAAGTCGAGGTAAAAGACCAGGTCGCTGTAGCATGCGAACTCGTCAAACACCTGGCAGGGGAGGTGTGAGTGTGCAGAGAGGAGGGCAGGGGAGGGAGGGAGATGGGGGAAGGGAGAGAGAGTATTGAGATGACTCAGACGTTGACTTGAAGTCGAGGTAAAAGACCAGGTCCCTGTAGCATGCGAACTCGTCAAACATCTGGCAGGGAAGTGAGGAGGGAAGAGAGTGGAGAAAGGGGGTAGGGAGGAAGACATTAGTTTAGAGTCGACTCAAAAGGTGACTTGAAGTGAAGGTAGATGACAACGTCACCTACCTCTCGTAGCGAGTTTTGAGTCGACTCAAAACTCAGATGACAACGTCACCTACCTCTCGTAGAGTGCAAACTCGACAAACATCTGGCACAAAGGTGTGGTGTGGGTGAGGTGTGAGGGGGGATGGTGGTGGTGGTCGAGTTGAGGGGATGGCAGCGGGTGACTGATATTTCTCGAATGTATTTTGTCGAGTGTCAGCACTTGAAAACAACGAGCGAGAGCTCCCATGTGAAGGATCCATTACGTTAATCCATCTGTAAGTGTCAGGAATTTGCAATGTTAGGTCCAAGAGTGTAGATATTTCCACCCTTACCTCTCTAAGTGTTGGTATTTGCAGTCGCTTCCCTCTGTGAGGAAATGTTTTGCCGCCATCTCGGGTGAAATGATACCCAGCATCCAATGACCTGCAGCCACGTGGCACAGAGGATATGTGAATGTCTTTCGCACAGGCATCAAACAGTGCAAGGGTAAATCAGAAGCAGCACCGAGTGGCATAATCACGAGAATGGCGTCACCTTGTTCTGATGTACACTGAACCGCCATTCACCAATGCACACCTCCATCCACCTGAGTCACTTCACCTAGTTCCTCATCCGCTGGAAACATCACCAGATTTGTGTTGTCGGAAACATCACCTGAGCTCTCACCTGACCTGGGCTCCCTCCTGAATTCTCACCTGACCTCTCACCTGAATTCTCACCTGACCTCTCTGAATTCTCACCTGACCTCTCACCTGAATTCTCACCTGACCTCTCTGAATTCTCACCTGACCTCTCTGAATTCTCACCTGACCTCTCTGAATTCTCACCTGACCTCTCATCTGCCCTCACCTGACCTCTCACCTTCCCTCACCTGAGCTCCTCCAAAGTGTAGCTCTCCACAAGCCCGCTGCCGTCTGTTGTGTCGTCCACTGTCACATTGTGAATCAGCACCTGCCAGTCAGTCAAACCAGGTCAACCGTCCTGAAACTTTGAGTTGTCTCGTTGTTCTTTTCTTCCACGGTCATTAAGTGAACCAACCTCTGCCGCCAACCAAGTCAACAGAATCGACCGAATTCACTCAAATATTGTGTTCAGTCAAACCCCCTCTTCAGTCAAGCCTCTCGACTGTTGCTTTGCACATTCGAAAGCATGTGCAGCAGCAGCAGCAGCAGCAGCAGCAGCAGCAGCAGCAGCAGCAGCAGCAGCAGCAGCAGAACAGGCGCAAGTACAAGCAAAGGCGTCTCACCAGCTGCTGGTCCCTGGTCAATTGCACATCCACTTCCAGTAGTTGCGTGCGCAGCAGTGGAGCGTTAGGAGCATCGGATGCATGAGGAGCACCAGCCTTGGTAGAGTCTACATGGGCATCACGAGCAGCAATAGCACCCTCTCCCCCATCAGAGGCTCCATCACTGTCTCTGCCACTGCCGGCACTGCCTGCTGCCCTGCTGCCCTCCACATCAGCACTGCCGTCCACATCAGCACTGCTGCCGTCCACATCAGCACTGCGGCCGCCCACATCAGCAGTGCTGTTACTGGCTGCGATGGTAGCTGCACTCTCAGGAGAAGTATTTCCAGCAGCGTCAACGCCAACAGCGCTGCGATATGCCAGCATGGTGTTCTCAGGCCATGCGCGCGCACCACCCCTGGGAAGGCCGAGATGCATGCAAAGGAGA